TTTTAATCTCGAAATTTGACTACGTATTTATTTTTCTTTCCCCCTCCCCTCCATGGTTGTTATTTTCTTTTCTTGATAAGGTCGCCACTACTCTAACCCCCCAAACTCCGCTTAGGGTTTTCTTAGGGTTTTTCTAAGGCTTAGTGTTCTCCTAACCTTCCTCCTCTGCCGCCACCTCCCATTGGGCAACCTGGACCTGAACAAATCTTCTCCTTTCGATCGGCTTTGGCCCCTCTCTGACTACAATATGAGACACGTTCTGGAAAAACTGGCTCGTGCTCACACCCACAACAACAAATGTTGGGACACAAAAAAAATGCACCCTTACAAACAGTTCACAAACCGCCCACATTCCAATCCTGGTGTGAAATGCGGCTCAAATGTCGAAAGAATAATATCCAGAAAACACACTCGGTCTAAATCGGGGCATTCCTCAATCATTATGGTGGGTCATCCGGTTGGCCCAATTTGTTTCGATGTCCCATCATGGCATCACCATCCCAGAAAATCCGTTTTTTTTTTTTTTTAACCACTAGTACCTTTGGCACGTGGGAAAATAGGGAAAAGTGGCAATTTCCCCAAACTCCTAAAGATTCGGAGGCCGGGCCCGACGACGACTGCCATTGATAAATCTGATCGGCAGTCCTTGTTTCGTTTCGGCCTCCGAAAAGGTCGGAGGCGCACCGGAGGCCCGCTATTTCCGCGCGCGCCAAAGGTACTAGTAGTTTAAAGAACTTGATTTTATTTATATATATGAGCAAAAGGAGGCCGGGAATCCCTCCACATCTTAACCCGGAATAATGTGGCCAGCACCCAGCTTGGGCTTTAACTGGAAAACGGGTCCAGTGTCCCATTCTTCGGAGATCTCCTCTAGCTAATCCTCCACCTAGTTATCGAAGTCGGTCCCCGCGGGAGCTCAGCTAGAAGGGAAAAAGTAATGAAAGCCAACCCGAGGCTACTCACTCTTCCTGGAAACTAGTTTGGGTTTTCTCTTCTAAAACCCTAAACCCCGTTCCTCCCCCTGCCTGCTACCGGAAGTCTGGCCCCCCTTTGGGTATCCTCCTGTTGTGTGAAGGCCCCTTTTTTAAAAAAGTCCTGAGTCTTCTAAGATCACGTGTAATCCCGCTCTACCACCCTAAGTCCTCTACAAACAGGTGTGAGCCTGCACCTCTCAGCTGGAAGGCTGTGAGGTTGACGCCTCTGCCTGTTGCTCGAAAAACAGCCTTTCCTGTGGGGACCCTCCTGCTGTGCTAGTGCCCTTTTCAACAACTCTGGGTCCTATGCGGTCTAGTCTAAGCCCGCTCCTCTCAGCTGGGAGGCTGTCAGATAGGCGTATTCGGCTAGAGCGGGGTTATCCAAACTGAGGCCGAAGGAATGTTTCACAGTTGAGATGCAATTGTGAACACTTAAACCACCAGTGTCTTTCTTAGCTCTTTTGCCGAGATGCGCCGGGTAACGCGGGAGGCCAGCGAGGTTCAGTGCGAACAGATCGAAATGGCTGGCGGCGCCAGCCAAAATGAGTCCCGCGCCTGGCGCGCCATTTCATTTTTTCCTGTGTGCAGGGTGATTTTAGGCTCGGCATCTATACTTGAGAAAGGTACTAGTGGTTTAATTTGCCCAATCCAATTATGAAATGTTCGGTACTCCTGACAATATGCCACCAGGGTGCGGTGTGAGGCTTCTAGAAACCTTCAATGCACTTGGCAAAAGGGCGCGGTGCGACCGGGAGCGCCGCGCCTCCCGCCCTGCCATCGGCCCGGTCTGTCGCGCGCCCGTGGTGTTTCGTCGTTTTCATGTCTGCTGGTGCGGTTTTCGTAGCACACCCGTGGTGCTTTGTCGTCTTCATGTCTCACGTAAGCATAAGGGTGATGGTGGTTGGGGCTGCTATCGCTTAGCGCGTGGAGTGTATCTTGAATGGCCATCAACGTGTAAGCCGTCGCTTGGGTGCTCTTCCAGCTTTGCCAATTAGGAAAGTTGTCGTCGGCTCTGCGCTTTGTCCAAGTGGTGTCGTAGTCGGCACGCTGGCGAAGGGGAGACGGTCGCTGGAAGAAGGGCGATCTCCATGAGGCTTTGGCCATAGTTGAGGCCTTGTTTCTCTGTTCTTGCAAAGTGTTGAGGCGGTTGGTTGGGAGTCGCGGATGGAAGGGAGGAACGTGTTCTCACGTGGAGTGGGAGGAGGAAGATCGTTCAAGCGCGGACATCCGGAAGGGACTTCGACAACGTTTTGCTCCGACGAGTTGATCTTGTATTTTTGTATGGATGTACAACTACTGTTCTAGTCCGATAACTCTGGTTAGGGTAATCGCTATTGCTGTTTTTTTTTTTTTTTTTTTTTTTTTTTTTTCAAAGAAACAGCCCGAATACATGCAAGAGGTGCTGG